ATCTGTAGTTTGGATTACTCGTTATTATCTACAGACTGGCCAAATCAAGTGGAGTACCAATAGTGTGTTGTTGGAACTAAATCCTAGTCGTATTCAAGTCACTTTATCGACATGTCGTCAAAGGCTACTAATGTGGGGGCCCCCTGCAGAATTGGGGGCTTTGTACCGCGTCTTCTGCTAAGGGGACAATGAGGAAACCACAATTGAGCTGCTGCCCCCATAACAACAATTGGAATCTTGGCACTACCTCACGTTAAGTCTTAGTGTTAAGCCTTCGCCCAAACATCCTCGATATCCAAGGGTTACGCTCACTTTCGCTCTCTGCACCCCTGGAATATGTCATAGCAAAATCGAAGGCTCAGTGTGCAACGCCTTGTGGATGAGACGAGAAGACTAGTTTGATCCTTTGATGTACATCAAAAGAATCTTGCGGTCGCGTAATGGTAAAACTTATTGGCTTTGAAGTCGGCGTCGCTCCTCTGTAATCTTCAAAGAATAAGTATTAGCCTAGTGATTGGTCAGTTTTTTTTACCCGACACCAATCAAATAGCTAGCCGTGTGCCTTCAATTGTGCTATGACATATTCCAGGGGTGCAGAGAGCGAAAGTGAGCGTAACCCGGATAACGAGGATATCGCCCAAGTGGAGGAGCCAATGGGTTCTGCCCCAAGGTCGGGACAAACCAAATTCCTAAAACATGGTAATCGTTATTACTGTTTAACGTTCAGCATTTAAGGAAATGGTTACATGTGACCAGGTGAAATATTGTGCTGAGTGTCTTCGACATGATATTTCAGCGAGCTAGCACTTTAAAGTTGGCATCAGATCCGCGCTATCGCAAGGAGGCAAATACACCAACATACCCTGCCTCCAGCACACATACACACATGCACGCATACATTTCACACATAGAGGCACGTCCTTAAATTACCTTAGCTGTTGGTAGGACGTCAAACAATATCAAACCAAATGTTAAGAAACAAAATATTTCCTGATGCTTTCCACACGATGAAGACTAGTCACAAAGATCAGAAAACATGCAAAATAAACGAAATGCAAACCAAAGTTTATTTTACACTGAATTTTATTTAACAAAACATATATAACTAAACATCAATAAATTAAAACAAAATCTGTTTAAGGCAACTTTTTTTAAAATTCACATGATTTCATTTTTCAGCAATACACATCAATTAAGAACAAACATACAGAATTACTACTTACAGACTTTCATTTATTTCATAAACAAACGAAAACATGATCAAAACATGAAAAAGTAGCCTTTTGTTTGTCTACATTAATTCAAACACAAATACTTTTATCAGCCAGCATGTCTCATTATATCTTAAACCATTGAGCAATGCATATGTATTACGATATAATTAAAAAAAAATTATCTTTCCATCACATCTTAACAACACCATTAAATATTAAATTTCCCCATTTAATTATTTTTCCTGATTAACAATAAACTTGAAGTGTAACAGAGATTCACCCCTTATAATTATTGGATTTTCAGACACACAAGCTGTCTGTTAGAATCAATACATACTTCATAAACTAGGCACACACCAAAGTACACAATAACAGAAATTGAAGGCAGCGTGCAAATGTAATTATGTAATTCAGAGGCTATTCTACCAGAGCAAAATGCTGTATAGAACTAATTAGCATTCAGTGACTCATCAACTTTACTTAAACTTCTAAAATTATTGACTCCAACACCTGATTTTGTTTTTTTAATTGCTCATCCAGAAAAACCTTCTAGTTTTACTGAACTCTATTCACATACCTAACTCTCCTTTGACACATGTACTGACGAAATTACATCACCATGAAATAAATTCTGGATAATATACAGAAATCTAAAATCATTTCTTATATCAGTAAAAAAAATCTGATTGATTTTATTTCATTGGTGTTAATCAGTGTTTAGATTACAATTATGAAAGCATTTTGAACAACAGCAAAACATTATACTACATGTATTGCCAAACCGGTCACCAAAAGTGAAACAGCTTTTAAATGTAATAAAACATGCATGACAATACATTAAATACATGATATTAAACCAAAGTGTAGGTTGTTGTACTGTTACCTGTAATTGTTGTACTGTTACCTGTAATTGTTGTACTGTCACCAGTAATTGTTGTTGTGTTACCTGTAATTATTGTTATGAGTTACCTGTTATTGTTGTTATGTGTTACCTGTAATTGTTGTTATGAGTTACCTGTTATTGTTGTTATGTGTTACCTGTAATTGTTATGAGTTACCTGTAATTGTTATGAGTTACCTGTAATTGTTGTACTGTTACCTGTAATTGTTATGAGTTACCTGTTATTGTTGTTATGTGTTACCTGTAATTGTTGTTATGAGTTACCTGTAATTGTTGTTATGTTACCTGTAATTGTTGTGTGTTACCTGTACTTGTTGTTATGTGTTACCTGTAATTGTTGTTATGAGTTACCTGTAATTGTTGTTATGTGTTACCTGTAATTGTTGTACTGTTACCTGTAATTGTTGTTATGAGTTACCTGTAATTGTTGTTATGAGTTACCTGTAATTGTTGTTATGAGTTACCAGTTACCTGTAATTGTTGTTATGAGTTACCTGTTATTGTTGTTATGAGTTACCTGTTATTGTTGTTATGTGTTACCTGCAGGTTTACCAAGCATTGCAGATATGAAAACTTGATAGGTTTGTATTGGTACAGATTTAAGGTCTTCACAATCAAGCTGGAGTAATACAGTTATTTACCTCCACAAAGCATCTTTTAAAATTGATGTTATTTTGTTTTCTACCCAAATTTTACAACAGCCAGAAACTATAAAAACTGGAAAAATAAAGCATTATATTTATTGAAATAGGGAAAATATTCCTCATGGTTTCTCCGTCTTGGGGAAAATAAAGAACTTTTTTTGTACGGGAAGCAGCCTATATTTGGATGTAAACCTAGTAAAAAAACAACCCACTGATATAGGATTATATATATAATTAAGGACGTTTACATATTTTTTATTGTAAAGCATATAACAGACAACAATTGGTCGTGAACACTTAACAACATCCAGTTCAGATAGGTATTAGTTATGTAGAGGCTGGTATAAATGTGTAGGAGAGACTCGGGGACTATTTTATAGACTGTCTAGTGTCCATTATGACAGGGCTACTTCAAAGTAGAGACTGGTATAAATGTGTAGGAGAGACTCGGGGACTATTTTATAGACTGTCTGCTGTCCATTATGACAGGGATACTTCACAGTAGAGGCTGGTATAAATGTGTAGGAGAGACTCGGGGACTATTTTATAGACTGTCTAGTGTCTATTATGACAGGGCTACTTCAAAGTAGAGGCTGGTATAAATGTGTGGGAGAGACTCGGGGACTATTTTATAGACTGTCTAGTGTCCATTTTGACAGGGCTACTTCAAAGTAGAGGCTGGGATAAATGTGTAGGAGAGACTCGGGGACTATTTTATAGACTGTCTGGTGTCCATTATGACAGGGCTACTTCAAAGTAGAGGCTGGTATAAATGTGTGGGAGAGACTCGGGGACTATTTTATAGACTGTCTGGTGTCCATTATGACAGGGGTACTTCACAGTAGAGGCTGGTATAAATGTGTAGGAGAGACTCGGGGACTATTTTATAGACTGTCTGCTGTCCATTATGACAGGGCTACTTCACAGTAGAGGCTGGTATAAATGTGTAGGAGAGACTCGGGGACTATTTTATAGACTGTCTGGTGTCCATTATGACAGGGCTACTTCA